GAAGTGACCAGTTTTAGAATATCAGATAAAATGGAGCATACATTTCTAAGTACCCTGTACAGTACAGTAAGTATTTATAAATGAGAATTAAAGAGCCCCAGCAGTTGAGGTATTATGATATGCAGATGGTGTGAGGAATTGATGTGGTGGTTTGTTGAGCGAGTTTGGCATTTGTCTCTAAAGTAAAGTCCTTAGTAGGTGTATGTTGACTTAACATGAATTTTTCCATGTACAGAAAAACATTTCTTTCATTTACTCATCCCAAACCAGCTATCTACTACTCCTAAATCTTAAAATGTTGACATGGGGAAGACATGAGTTTATAGTTTTTATTTTATGCTACCCAAGACTGCTTTGCTTTCCCTCTTTTCTAATATCATTTATTCCCTTGTTATCAATTTGTTGGTCTGTTACAGTTATTTGTGTCTACAGAATAGCTGGAATTGCCCTGGATTTTTTTTACATGGGACTGTTTCATTCCAGTCCTGGCAGTATCTGGCCCAGAACCCTACAAAATTTTTTCTTGCCTCATTTACATTACCCAAGATATGCTTGTTACAGGAGCTAACTGCCCTATCATTTATATATTCTCTGAGTTGACTTGATTTTCTCTCTTGTGTTTCCCTGTTGTTCTTTAACTTTTGGTTTTTCCGTCAATGTGTTCCCAAGGCAACAATTTGTGTTTACTTTATCATCATAACTAACACCTGTGGCATCTTGTGATTATCATTACTGCACATGAGCTGAACCTCATATTTCATGGGAAAGGAAGATGAGGTTAGTTCATTGAACAGTGAGAAATAAGGAAAATAGAACTACCTTTTTGCATGTGACTAAATATTGTACCAATTGTGTAAACTTTCCTTAATTATTCATCCTCAACTTCAACATGTTTTAATATTAAAGACATCTCAGTACTGGTACAGGTGCTAGAAACATTTTAAAAAATATTACTGTGAAAGTGTGAAATTGAATTTTGCTGGACAAAGAGTTGAATTTCCCAAGCATAGGCAGATAATGACAAAACGAACATTGTCGAGGAAAATGATAGGTGAAAGGGCATTAATTGCTGGTGTGAGAACGCAGGAGAAAGCAGGACTGAGAGAGAGGCACTGGTCATAGTGTGTATGGAAATACAGTAAAATTCATTATATGGAGATGTTGCATGGGCCATCCTGTGTAAGGCAGGACAAGGTCTAGATAATAAATTAGTGTAATAAGTATATAATAGCTGTCTGTCAGCCTTGTCCATCCACTGCGGCATTCCATGTTCCTTCACAGTCACACTCACTCAGAACATGAGAACTGTTCATGCCTGTCAATCATACTCATACTGAAATTTCATCTTTTAAGACTACTACTCTCACAGTATATAACTTGTGCTTATTCACCAAGAAACATTATTGTCAGCAATCAGTGACATCTTCAGAATTCACTTTTTCTACATTTTAAATTAATTCTTCTCCTGTGTGTATGTGGCATATGCTTTCTTCACTGCACCTTCCTCATGAGCTTTGAACATCTACTTTGAAACGACACATCTTTCCCTCAACCAACATTCACGCTCAACTATTTACTGATTCCTCAAATGTGCTTGCGTTGTAATTGGCAGTGAGTCACAGACACTGGCCACAGGTTGGCTACATTCAAATCATGACCCAACAGTGTGTCTGAAGTGTGCATTTAGGTTCTTTGGCATGTTTCTCCTTTTACAGGGTGAAGTTCCCGTTGAGAGATTGACAACGTCATTATACTATTATATTGAGGTGAGTGGAGGAAGGCACAGGTGGCTATCCAAGGTTAGATGGAAAGTGGAAAAAATTATCTCAGTGAGAGAGTTGAGAGTTTGGTTGATTCTACATAGTTGTGCGGAAACCGAATTGTTGACAGATATCATTGCATCTTTTTGCACCGAACATCCAAGTAAAGGATAGGCAGCATTGATAAACAAACATCTAGCCCATGGATAATTTTAACTGGCAATCTCTTTGGTTTTTGTTAACATGCACTTGGTTTACATTTGTATTAATTTCTTTCCTACTTTTATTTCTTAGAACAAGACACAACTAGGGCGCCAGCCTGTGCCTAAGTCCTTCCTGGTCCCTGCACATGCATAGTTTCCTCTGCCATTCCCTGATATGATTATATCCTCTTTCCTCCCATCCTCCCACACATCCATTTAGCTTTTCCCTAACTTCTTTTTTGCACCCAGCTTGTCCCCTTATTTACATTAGTCTTTGACCTCGATAACCTTTACCACTACCAACCTTTAATTTTAATAGTTTCTTTCCATCCTTTATATTCCCTGTCCATGTCATCATACCCTATGTTGTCCTCTCATAGACACTCCACCTAACCTACTAGTGTTCTCACTAGATTGTATCCCACTGCATGTGTCCCCACCAAATTGTATCTCAGTGCTCTTGCTTGCACATGTCCTCAGCTGTCCCTTTCCTCTTGGTTGAAATATCACTTTCTGAAGCCCTTTGCTGCTCATGGCCTCACCTGCCTCATATCCTCACCTGCCTCATATCCTCACCTGCCTCATATCCTCACCTGCCTCATATCACCTTCATATCCTCACCTGCCTCAGATCCTCACCTGCCTCAGATCCTCACCTGCCTCAGATCCTCACCTGCCTATATCATCCTCACCTGCCTCATATCCTCACCGCCCTCATCCCCACCTGCCCTCATATCCTCACCTGCCTCATATCCTCACCTGCCCCATATCCTCACCTGCCTCATGGCCTCACCTGCCTCATATCCTCACCTGCCTCATGGCCTCACATGCCTCATATCCTCACCTGCCTCATATCCTCACCTGCCTCATATCCCTCACCTGCCTCATATCCTCACCTGCCTCAGATCCTCACCTGCCTCCCATATCCCTCACCTGCCCATATCCTCACCTGCCTCATATCCCACCTGCCTCATATCCTCACCTGCCTCCATATCCTCACCTGCCTCATATCCTCCCCCGCCTCATATCCTCACCTGCCTCATATCCTCACCTGCCTCATATCTCACCTGCCTCATATCCTCACCTGCCCCATATCCTCACCTGCCTCATATCCTCACCTGCCCATGGCCTCACCTGCCTCATTTCCCTCACTTGCCTCATATCCTCACCTGCCTCATATCCTCACCTGCCTCATATCCTCACCTGCCCCATGGCCTCACCTGCCTCATATCCTCACCTGCCTCATGGCCTCACCTGCCTCATATCCTCACCTGCCTCATGGCCTCACCTGCCTCATATCCTCACCTGCCTCATGGCCTCACCTGCCCTCATATCCTCACCTGCCTCATATCCTCACCTGCCTCATATCCTCACCTGCCTCCATATCCTCACCTGCCTCATACTCACCTACCTCATGGCCTCACCTGCCTCATATCCTCTCACCTGCCTCATATCTCACCTGCCTCATATCCTCACCTGCCTCATGGCCTCACCTGCCTCAGATCCTCACCTGCCTCAGATCCTCAACTGCCCAGACTCACCTGCCTCGTATCCTCACCCTCCCCATATCCTCACCTGCATCCTACCTGCCTCATATCCTCACCTGCCCATATCCTCACCTGCCCCATATCCTCACCTGCCCCATATCCCCACCTGCCTCATATCCTCACCTGCCTCATGGCCTCACCTGCCCTACACCTCACCTGCCTCATGGCCTCACCTGCCTCATATCCTCACCTGCCTCATGGCCTCACCTGCCTCATGGCCTCACCTGCCTCATATCCTCACCTGCCTCATATCCTCACCTGCCTCATCCTCACCTGCCTCATATCCTCCACCTGCCTCATATCCTCACCTGCCTCATGGCCTCACCTGCCTCATATCCTCCACCTGCCCACATCCTCACCTGCCTCATATCCTCACCTGCCCTGGCCTCACCTGCCTCATATCCTCACCGCCTCAGATCCTCACCTGCCTCGATCCTCACCTGCCTCAGACTCACCTGCCTCAGATCCTCACCTGCCTCGATCCTCACCTGCCCCATATCCTCACCTGCCTCATATCCTCACCTGCCTCATATCCTCACCTGCCTCATATCCTCACCTGCCTCATATCCTCACCTGCCTCATATCCTCACCTGCCTCATATCCTCACCTGCCTCATGGCCTCACCTGCCTCATATCCTCACCTGCCTCATGGCCTCACCTGCCTCATGGCCTCACCTGCCTCATATCCTCACCTGCCCCATATCCTCCACCTGCCTCATATCCTCACCTGCCCTCATATCCTCACCTGCCTCATATCCTCACCTGCCTCATATCCCTCACCTGCCTCATATCCTCCACCTGCCTCATGGCCCTCACCCTCTGGCTCACCTGCCTCATCTCACCTGCCTCATATCCTCACCTGCCTCGTATCCTCACCTGCCTCAGATCCTCACCTGCCTCGTATCCTCACCTGCCCTCACATCTGCATGTGTCCTCACATGCTTATGTCCTCAAATGCTTGTGTTAACTGGCTACATACCTGTATGCATTTGGTGGCATCCACAAGTACTTGGCTCTTGCATCACCTGTCATCAGCTACTGGTTGTGCCTTGAATAATGGCTTACCATAAACTTTTATGTGTGTTTGTAATGAAACTTAAGCTTATTATTTATTATTAACAGTTGTTCTTGTGTTTATTCCTCTACTTGTTTGTGTACTTAATTTTGTGTTTGTACATTCTCTTCTGCTTGTACATATAAACTCATACATATGTGGCTGCTTGTGTTGTTGGTTTGATTAGTCACTTACAAAACTTGAAGGTTCACCTACAGTAATTATCCAGTACTGTACTTATGGATTTAAATATTTTAAAGACAGATCGACCATTACTATCACTGATAAGAAAAAATCTTTAATCCAAAATTCCAGTGCTACCCCAAGATCATAGCCATTTCTTACTTCCTTGTGACCATCAATAGTAAAACCTTTCTATTTGTTTTATTTAAACTGGAAATTTGTAAATCACTATGTTTTTCTTTTCTCATTGTCAGCCAGAGCGATTGAACGGTGATCACTATTCTGTTGCAAGTGACATATGGAGTCTTGGATTATCTCTGGTAGAGATGGCTATTGGTATGTATCCTATCCCACCACCTGACCCCAATACTCTCAAGAAAATATTTGGCTCCAAAATTGAGGGTGTGAGCCCATCCCCAATCTCACGCTCACCAAGATCAGGTTAGTGAGCTGTTCTTAGTGTCTGATTTTTAATTGAGTAAAGGTATTGTTCAATTAACACAATAGGTGTGTTTCTAAAAGTATTGTGCTTAGCAAAATTGTGAAAAGTAAAATTTATCTTGTCAAAAGTCCATAGCTTGTGAATCATGATTTTAGATTTAAAGTGCACACCAAGATTTGAATGTGGGTTTGTGTGTGGTGTGGTGGTAATTCATATTTTTATATGTAAGTAAAATACAGTGGTCCTCGTTAACGAAATTACGTTCCACAAAGTCGTTCGTTAACCGAATCTATTATTTCAATGGGATATTGGGTAATTGGTTCCAACTCACAGAAAAAGTACATACAAAATACTGTATACCAATAATAGAATTAACAAAACATTAAATATAAACTAAATACAGTACTGTACTGTACAGTATACTGTACAATAATAAAAAACCATAGAATACTGTATTTTAACTTACTTTGAGGTGTGTATATCAGATATCCGGCAGCTTTGTTTACATATCAAACAGCTGATTGTAGAGGCAGTCGATGATGACATGCCATATTCTTTACAGACTGCATTGATTCTAATGCCTTCTTCATGTTTCATAATAATATCTGCACTGTATATTATCAATATGTGAACTAAATTTCAGAATGATCAATAATTTTAATGTAAAAATGCAAAAATATTCAAGAGCACAACATTCTTGATATTTAATTCACTGGAAACGAATGTAAACATAGAACCAATTACTGTATTGGCAGACTAGCTGATCAGCTGATGCAAACAAAACGTGTTTGTCTCGAGGATTTCGTTAATCGAACTGAAAATCCTTATGGGAGCTAATTCATTAACCGAAATTTCGTTAATCGAACTGTTCGTTATCCGAGGGACATCTGTACAGAATTTAATTTAATTAATACTGAAAATAGGTTACATAATTGTAGAGAGTGGCAGCATGCTTGGAAAGCTGGTGAACCAAAATTACCATCAAATAATGGGTGATTACAACATGTAGCTTTACCCACATATCTGTAATCTCATACCTCTTAATGAAACACTCAGTATCACTTTTATATATATTTTATTTATGTAGCCTTGCATTTATTTCACTTTTAAATGTTCTCTTGTCATTTAAAGCTAGATTAGCACACATGGGTGTAAAGAGTGCCTGTGGTAAAGCACCTAAAGAACGGCAAAGTTTAGGAATTGCATACAAATTGTGTGTGACAAGAATAGTGGTCAGGACAGGACTGAGTACAGTGCCCCAAGTTACGGAAGTGTTCCTTTTCCTGAAAATCTTTCTGCAACGTGAAATTCCGAACACTAAACCATTTATCCTATTGACAACCATTATAAAAGTTGAGATGCCTTTCTAGGGAAATTTTTTTGAGGCCTAAAAAACATGACACAAGCTCATATACATATGAAATTAGACAGTTTTAACCACATACAATGAATCATTCATTATGTAACATGATAATACATGAACAAAACACTTAAATTTTACTTACCATAAATGATGTCGAGTGCTGCAGGGGTGGTGAGGTGAGGTAGTGTAATCGGAGTTACTAGGAGTTACCTCCTTAAAACATCAAGTTTAATGTCCGATGCAATTTTTAAATCTTTATCACCACTGCTTTCACTTGAACTTGATGGTCTTTTCCACTCGTCTTGAATAAGGGTATACAGTAACAACAGTCACATAACTGAACACAAATGGGAAAGAATTCAACCTGACCAGAGCCATTGTTGTTATGGATGCTATCAGCTGGTGAGGTGAGCCACCTGACAACCATCTTGTAGCTACCACCAGAATCCACATGAAATTAATTTTTTAATTTTGATGAAATTTTTTCTTCTATACAGTCAACCCTCACTTTACGCAGTTAATGTAACCCACAGGGTACCGCGGAAAGTGAGAAACGCGTAAAGTGAATAACATAACATATGGGATTAAATGAAATAGAGACCAGCTGACCCCCAAACTCCACTTTTTCCAACACAATGCCTATGTTCTAGTAAAAATAACATCTTAATTTTATGATGGTACATGCACACATTAATACTTAAGAGAAATAAGAAATACAGTGCCAAGTTAATGTCCATTCAAATAATGGATTCCTCCCTCCCCCTCTTCTCTGATACACTCACTGGCTCTTCCCTCTGACATATTTTGGGGAAAACCAGGTATAGTAATAAATAATACCTCAAACAAAGTTAGGATAATATAATTGACATTGCTGGATTCCTTTAAGACCAGGAATATTTTGAATATAAATGTCATATATTTTGCACAAAAGATAACATATTTACTCAAGTAAACATTCATCTAAAATTTGTATGTCTAATGCAAAATCTATGATGTTTATATTCAAAATGATCATCAAATTGTAAAATTCCAGCAATGTAAATTATATTCTGGCTGGTAATTTGTATGAATTTATGAGCTAAAACAAATATCTTCAGTTAATAAAAAAATAATATTCTTCACGACACTATCTGTCAATCAAAGTACCCCACCCTGCCTCCCCCTCTTCCAACCGCGCGCAGATGGTCAGTCCGTCCCAACCCTCCCCCCACCTCCCCAACCCCCTCCTTCAAGAGAAAGTGGGTGAAAAAACCTGAATTTTAACATTTAGTATTAAATAATACCTCAGATTAAAGTTAGGATAATATAATTGACATTGCTGGATTCCTTGTAAGACCAGGAATATTTTGAATATAAATGTCATATATTTTGCAAAAAGATAACATATTTACTCAGAGTAAACATTATATCTAAAAATTTTATGTCTAATGCAAAATATATGATGTTTATATTCAAAATGATCATCAAATGTAAGAATTCCAGCAATGTAAATCATATTCTGGCACAATTGGTATATGAATTTTATGAGCTAAATAAAAAATTATACCGTGTAAAGGGGCAGAATGTGAGCATCCTGGGTTCTGGCAGGGCACTGCGTAATGTGGAAACGCGGAATGTGGGACTGCGTAAAGTGAGGGTTGGCTGTATAGCGATTTTTTCTTTTGAAAATCTTAATAAGTTAACCATAATTCCATAAGGGCAAATACAGTCCTGAACACAGATGCTTAAGTGACCACAAGCTGAGGAAACAATTCTAATTGAGCAGTGCCATTGTTGTGATGGTTGTTTGCAACTGGGGAGGTGAACCTTCAGCTGCCTTGTGGTAACCACAGAGAATCCACATGAAATAATTTGTAAATATTTGGGTAAAAATTGGGATTTTTTATTATTTTTTTATTTTATTTTTAAATTTTACTCAAATTTTGTAAGATGATAAAGAGCACTTCCGGGAGAGACATTTCCAGCTAACCAGACAACTTTCTCTAACCCGGAAAAATTCCTTATCCCCGGAATCTTTACATGTGTGTACAGTACAGTATTATGTATCTTCATATACCCTGGTTTATTATTCATTAATTCGTTGTCTAAGTGTACAAGTAGCCAAATTGAGCCATCGTGTATCACTCAAAGGTAATAAATAATGTTAGGAAGGTATCTCCATATCAATTGAACAATTACTATACAGTGCGTTATAGTTGGTCTGCTGAAAGCTTTCACACGAACACATCAGTACAGTTTATCCTTTTATTTTCAAGTCGTATTACAATTTCTTATTGTATTTATTTCTATGGACCATAAGAGGTCAATCATATGAGAATATAATACTGAATCAATAAATAAAAAACCTGACGAATGCAGAAACACCCGATCAGCCCCAGCCTGCTTACATACTCAGTGACTTAGTTCTCGGTTGGCCCATAGCAAATCTGATTAGACCACTGTACAGTATTCAGTAAGTGTTGTTCTTTTCATAATAGTTTTGTTTTTTCATCTTCACCATTTCTTAAAGTATGCACTTAAAATTGTTTTATTTTTATTATTTCTGGTGACCAGTGCACCTCAGAGTCAGAAAAGGGTGGATTCCTATATTTTGTAGTCCGATTTATCGAGGTTTTACTGTATCTGAATCTTCCAAGTATCCCAACTTTGTCCACTTTGGTAAAAATTCTGATTTAGTCCAACAATCCAAAAGCAGTTAAAGTCATTTATTCATATGTCTGACACCTGTTGTGGTATAACTGCTTTAAAAAAAAAAATTGCTGTGATAAACAATAAAATTGATACATAGCAGATCATAAATGTACCATAGCACATTTTGTGTACAAAAAATAGCTCCTTCCACACTCAATCCATCATCTAAGTGATGCCATAGCTTAGCAAGGCAGTCAACCAGCTGACCGTGTGTGTGTGTGTGTGTGCGCGCGCGCACGTGTGTGTGCATGCGTGTGCATGTGTTTTGTGTGTGTGTGTGTGTGTGTGTGTGTGGCACACATGGGAGAGGTGGTGGGTGGATAGTCACACTGTACAGCTCACTGCCTTCACATATGTTCACCTCGCACACACACACACACACACACACACACACACACCTATGCTCTTCATTTTTATTTTTTAGTTTTATATTATATTTTCTTTATTTTTAAGCTACATCAGAATATTTAAATTTTTAATCTGTTGCTCTGTAATGAAGAAAATGGTTTTTATTAGGGGTGGACTTTAATATTCTTAGTGATATAAGTTACATGTTTATTTACATACTTAGACTTGATTATACATAGAGAAAATAATTGTTTTTGTTAAAATTTTATTCTTTATTTTCTATAAGTGACGAAATGACAATATTATGCATAAGTGCTGCACTGTTTACTGTTTATATAGTGTTTCCCCTCCATCACCTGCGTCACCAACCATTCCACTGCATCACCTATCATTCCGGAGTTACATTACCATGCCTCTGTGTTATCTACCATGCCTTTCACCTACAATGCTTCATTTTTTACCTGCAGTCATGGTAAGTCCGACTTATGAACCTCCGCCAATCTAACGGGGTTAAACTTGAAATTTATAGTATTTTATTTACCTCATGACTTATTTTTTACTTTCATTAACTGTATTTTGTCATTCTATTTCCTATTTTCCCTTAAGTGATTTTAGATGTATATAAGGACTTAGGCTATGATATAGTAGGATTTTAAACATTGCTCTGTAAGTACAGTATGCACATAGCATGTGTTCTGGATTATGTACAAATCCGACTAAAGAACGTCCTCAGGAACGGAACCCGTTTGTAACCCCCTGTATACGTATATGGGTCTATGAATTTTTATTGTTGTATTTTTGTAGGGGGTGTCTTGGTAAGTAGGAATTTGGGATAATTCGGCAAGACCAGAGCCCTATATGTGCCGACTTATCAAGGTTTTACTCGCTTTGTTTGGGAGTTTATCTTCTCCAATTTGTAAAATTGGTTCGAATAAACTATGTTATACTCGTATCACCCTTAAGTTGAATTAAACATTAAATATTTGGTAAAATAAAAGTGTGTCGCATGAGGATAACAAGAAAACATGTTACCTCTAAAGAAAGAAAAAAAAATCTGTTTATAACACAAAGAGAAGGAAAACACATATTATCTCCGTCCCACTCTCCCACACTATTGAGATTGATCCAGCCCCTCGTGTTTACGGACATGTGGCCGCTCCCGGCTTCTTGATAAAAATGCTGCCGGTTGTAATGGGTGTTATCAGGTTTCCAGCACTGAATACGGCTGTGGCTGCCCAGAAGTCCAGGTCTCCCCACTTACTAATGCTCAGGAAACAGAAAACACTATGTATGACCCCTCCCCCAACTGATGCAAACAACCCGGTGTTTTTCTTTGAACCTTTCCTTAACAGCAGAGACCCTGTGGTGGATCCCAATTCCTAGCTGATGTTAGATATAAACTAGGTTACCCCATATTTATGTGAATATGTTCTATTATGTTTTGTGTTGTGGAATAAAGCGCCACTTTGAATGCGCATGTTATGTTTTGTTTTTTCGGATGGTCCTGAAAATATACTGGAAAGAGCGACATCGTTTGTGTCATTGTCTGAGCCTCTCACATCACATTTCGTTGATATCCACCAAAAATGAACACTGTAACTTCAACAGCTGAGACTTCCAAGTGCATCTGCTCCTTCATGGCCACCGCATTGGTGAAAGAATGGTTGCGAATGTCTGCCATAATCCCAGCGTCGTATACTTTCAGTCTAGGTCGTCCTGGTCTGGGAACATCTGTTAAATTACCAGACTCTTCAAACCGCTGTAACCAGCATCGCATTGTCGATCTCGAGGCTTCCATCTGCCTTGTGATCTCGCCGATACTTAAACCTGCGTTACGCATGCCGATAATTGCCCTTTCTGGGAGATACCATGGTGTTGGTCTCCCATGGTTGTAGTTGGTGGAATAACCGAACGGTTGCTGTATGACCTCGTAATAACCTCAGTTAAGTTAAAGGTTGTGGTGAATGGCATTAATTGTCCCTAGAATCATCCTTTCCATCTTAGAATAAATTCTCATGTGCAGTGAGACTGGCATCATTAATGACTTCAGTAAAAGCAATAGGTGAAGGATAATATACCCACCACCACCAGTCTCCATTATGAACCTCTCTACTATAAATACTGTATATAGTGTTTTATATAATATCTGTCCTCCCGGCACTCTCAAGAGATTATCACCGATAAGTGTAGTAGTTCAAAGTGGAGGAGCACATAGACACGCCCCAAAATGGATTGATCCCATTTATTCAGGTGTGTAGCAGACATGCTGTGTGTTTGTTTTTATTAAAAGTGTGCTTGTAACATATAAGTAATTTATTTCTCCTAAGACAACATTTTATGTTCCTATCATACTTATGTAATATGAGATGAAACGGTTAGAATTCACCGCAAACATTTCATGTCTTTTCTTTATACACGGCAGCAGTTTGTTTACATGGATACAAGTACAGGGCATTTCATTAAAACAGGAAAGTATGATGAGGTAGACATGAGTGTACCCAAGAATGTCTCACGGATAGTTTTAAAGTTTCTGGCACTTTCGTTTACGGGACAGGGAGTCATTTGTTTTAGAGACAGTAATTTCCTTTACCTGTATTGTATATATGTGTGTGTGTGTGTGTGTGTGTGTGTGTGTAGACACATACAAATAAATAATAATGGGAAAATCCTCTCTAAATAATCGGAAACAAATGTAGTATTAAAAATGTTGAGTCTACCCTCAAGTCTACTCTATGCTTTATTAATAACAAAGCACGCAGTAGACTTGGAGTGACGACTCATCATTTTTAATATTACTTTTGTTCTAGTATTGTGATTTAATATTATCTATCTATATACAATACAGTTAAAAGAAATAATTGTCCTAAGGGCAAACACATAAAGGGAATATACATGTACCCCTCCCTGGTCAGCAAATGTTATTCGTGGATATGGTGATTTGCGGCCATTTGAAACCTAACCCCTCAATTTGAAGGGCATGCTGTAAAGTATGAAATACACTACCATTTTGCAATTGATCATCGATAAATTGGGTAGTTCATAGAGGATATGCACATAGATATGCCATATAATGGATTGTTCACATAATCAGGGTTTCTGGCAGCGCCATGTGTGTTCTTGCATACGTGTCTCTGACATTGCCACATATACGGATTAGCCAAAACTGCCTGGCAAAAGACTTTGTGAGGACTGTACAAATAATTGATAAAGGTACACAGATACATTATTATACTTGGCCTTTTATTTGCAAAGGGAATCAAACATTTACATAAATTGTTTTCTAATCTTGAAATTTATAATTGTGGGTATCATTGTTTTTCATAATATTTGCCCTTACAGAAAGATGATATTCAAATGAGAAAGGGTTACTTTTTTTTTTTTTTTTTTTGCTGACAGGGTTGCCAAGGAATGAAATTGATTAAATTGCCTTGCTTTTCATGTCATTATCCATTAAGCCTCAAATAGGAAGTGCATTTTACCTGTAATAGTACGTATAAATACAGTTACCATGATCCCCCTGCAGCTGGCCTTCCTGGTGAACCACGACCCATGGCCATCTTTGAGCTCCTGGACTATATAGTGAATGAACCACCACCCCGGCTACCCCCTGGTGTGTTCTCCCCTGAGTTTGTTGATCTGGTGGACGTGCCTTAAGAAGAGTCCCAGTGAGAGAGCTGATCTCACAACATTACAGGTAAGGTATTTTAAAATTGGACTGTACTTAGAAAAGTATTTTTACATTAGTGACTAGGATATTAGCTCATGGTTTAAAAAATAAAACAAATAAATAAACAAATAAATATATTTAATTGTGAACTTTGTGATATTTCTCTCTCTCTCTCTCTCTCCTTCTCTCTCTCTCTCTCTCCTTCTCTCTCTCTCTCTCTCTCTCTCTCTCTTCTCTCTCTCTCTCCTTCTCTCTCTCTCTCCTTCTCTCTCTCCTCTCTCTCTCTCTCTCTCTCTCTCTCTCTCTCTCTCTCTCTCTCTCACTTATACACATATGCAGATATAGAGATAGTGATGTACCTGTTAACCAGAATAATTGGTGCAGAGCTCTTCTGGGAATGAGAGATTTCTGGGTATTGACAAATGTCTCATCCCGATATCAGTACCGTATATCTAACGGCTCTATGGCGGCGGGGAATTTTAAGCCCCCAAATTTCCATTTAAAAGTAGCTTTGAGCTCTATTGCTGCTTATGAATAGCAGTACCCCAAATGTGCACTTACCACTGACTCAGTAGTCCTTTACCAACCATCCTTGATTTTTAAATAAGGCCAATTCACTTCAAGTAATGTCATCAAATTATACCCGCTGGTGTAGTGTAAACACTAGTGACGTCACTGAAGGCGTGTTGGGGTGTTCCTCGTCTCGGTGGTGTGACTATTTATACAACATGTGGTTCAACAGCAACCACCGTATTCTAATTGTGGTGTTTCATTAGGATTTGAGGTGAAAAAGGTTACCAGTATGTACTTACTACATACATTTATTACACAAATATATATATATATATATATATATATATATATATATATATATATATATATATATATATATATATATATATATATATATATATATATATATATGTACAAAAATGAATGTTCAATGAATTATTTATTGCATTAGGGTGGATTCACTTCTGATGGGCTATAAATAGCCTTCTTTATCTCTCCATCTCACCTTAGCTGAGGCAGAAGGGTCTTGGTAAAAAATGTGTTTTGCTTATTTTCCATTTACTTTAAATAGATTTACGAATTATTTGTTTTATTTATTTATTTATAATATATGTAATATATTAAACACACTGTAATTATTTTCTTTAATTTATAAACCTGTTTTTGCGACAAAGGAATGTTCTCCAGTAGTGTTTCATTAGGATTTGAGTGAAAAAATATTACGTACTTACAATTGTTCTCTTACTTTGACAACACAACATACATACAGTATATTATTTCTCAGTTTTGATCTTTTTTTTAATTTTTGTATTTATTTATAGTTAGTGATACTTAAAAATAAGGCCAATTCACTTCAAGTAATGGCATCAAATATTACCAGCTGGTGTAGTGTAAACACTAGTGACGTCATTGGCGTCTGTAATTAACCGTCGATAGTTTCAAGAATTAATGCACTCATTTACTGAATATTCTTTGGAAAAAATAAATTAAATCAATTATTTATAGGAGATAAATATTATTATGAGTAAATATACCGATACGTATGTACTGACCACCTCCACGGCTCCTCATGGCAAATGGGGGGGGGGGAGGTGTGATGATAGCTGTGTTTATTATAGGGGTATAAATCTTTTTACGGTATGTTAGACAGGTTTATAATACATTTTATTATTTTAATATACCGTAATCTTAATTTGAATCCAGCTTGCCAAACGTAAGTTTCAGTATAAAATAATTAGTGGTAAGACCTTGTGAGTGGCTTACGATGTTTTATCACCACTCTTGACACACTAAACCACAATATTTAAGAGGTAAGAATTTTAAACTTGGTGGTTTAGACGACCCCTAAACTTGGGGCAGATTTTTTTAATGTTCAAATTTCGCCTTTTATAGGCCGTGATATACGGTACTTCTGTACAGGGGAAAGTTTTCCGAGAGTCTAAACTACGCATCTCATCTCGCAGGGACAAACAAATTTTGAAAGTGGTTTATGGGAACTGAATATGGTTTAATCCTCAAAGTATTGTTGCAATAAATTATATTTCTTATATTATGATGTTTCCCACGAAGTATTCATTAATTTTAACCCCAAGTGGTCAGGGGTCATGAATGGTGAATAGATATACAGGGTATACAGTATTTATGCATTTAATAAATTTTAATAAAACAAAATACTGTACATTAATCCAGAAGCAGCTAGCATAGAGGGTTTACTGTAAATATATGTTTCTCCCATTAAGAAGAGCTTAAAAACCTTCATTCAATGTGAATCTCAACATTTAACACCAGTTCTGGTATTTTACTTATTTTTACTCTGGGTTTACACCAGGCAATATCGAACTAGACTACACAAAATTGAAGAAGAAGAAAAAGGGTGTCGGGTTGCATCAAAATCGTTCTATCAGTTTATTTCATGTTAAATTGGGGATCTACTGGGTATGTGTGTAATTACTGTATACATTCTAGACTTAAGCAACTCAAGTAACCACCAATGTTGTTTCTTCTCTCACTTGTAAATCCTTGACCTAAACTGATGATGTGTCTTGGCAACTTCTTATTGCTACCCAATCATGAAGTACTAGGCTTATATAACTTTACTGTCCACCAACAGAACCATGAGTGGATAAAGCGAGCTGAACAAGAGGATGTAGATATTGCTGGGTGGGTGTGCAAGACAATGGACATAACGCCTTCCACACCCACAAAACCATCTGCTGAGGCAAATTGTTGAGCTTTGTGGGGAAGTTAAATGCCATGGTAAGTTAAAGGATATCTTGAGACTAAATGTAGGTAGGTATATACTGTGCTTTAGAGACAGTTAATTAAAAAATATCTTTGCCATCAGTAATCATGGAAGCTAAGTTTCTAATGCTGAGGTTGCTGATTTGATAATTTAGAATTATATTGATCTGAACATTGAAATGCAAATTGAGGATGTGAATATACTACAAGGGTTGGCACATGGAGTGTCTGACTAGAGGCAAAATTAGAATGATGATGAAATTTCTCAATATTTCTTTCATTGTAAACAGACTTCTATAGTACAGTACATACATAATATACATTGTTTACATATCAGAGATGATTTAACCCTTAAGCCCGGTTAAGGGTTAACCCAAATAATTTCTGAATGGACCTTCATGTTTAGGTATTAAGAACTAAGGAACATTAGAATGGAAGAAACTGTAGCGGGCCTATTGGCCCACACTAGACTGCCTGGTTTACACCCAACCCCTATTGCTCATATATCCGTTCAACCTATATTTGAAGATACCCAGCGTGTTTGATTTTATGAAGAAGTTCGGTAACTTATCTCACTCATCCACTACACTATTTCCAAACCAGTGTTTACCTATTTAGTGTCTAGATCTAAATTTGTCTAATTTAAAACCTTTGCTACGAGTTTGCTCCTGGTTGGATTATTTGAGTAACTTTGTTATATCACCTTTGTTTAACCCTGACTTCCATTTACACACCTCGATCATATCACCCCTCACTTTCGGCTTCTCTCGAGGGAGTCCAAATTAAGATGCTTTAATGTTTCTATACTCAAGGTTCCTATTGTTCGGGATTTTATCCTTCTGCAGTACGTTAACCAGAACTGAACCGCGTAATTCATGTGAGGTGTCACTAGTCTTGGAACTTACACTCCTTTGTATGAACCCAAGTACTTTTGTTAGCCTTGTTTTGAGGAAATACACATTGTTGACTTGGTTTAAGATTCCTACTTATCATTACTCGTAAATCTTTCTAACAGTCAGATTTCTCTATAAGAACGTTGTTCATCTGGTATCTGGTTTCTCTGTTTACATCTCCCAGACTAAGTACTTTACATTTGTCCACATTAACTTTCATCTGCCATTTTCCAAACCATGCAAAAAGTTTGTTTAGAGCTTTTGTAATTTTGTGGCGTCCTCATCAGATTTAATTACATTTTCTATTTTATTGTCGTCAGCAAATTTACTAATGTTGCTGTCTATGCCTATATTCATGTAGATATGTACTGTATACAGTAAAACCTGACAAGTCGTACATGCATTGGGCTCTGGCATTGTCTAATTATCCCAAATTCGACTTATAGAGGCACTCCACCCTCACAAAAAATCAATAAAAAAAATTATGGTCCATATACGTACTGTATACATGTATTTAGTAATTTTCGAAAAATAACACTTAACAGCACTGCAGGCAATGAATGAAGCATTGTAGTAGGCGAGAGGCATGGTAGGTGACAGAGGCATGGTAGTTAACTCGGGAATGGTAGGTGATGCAGGGGAATGGTATGTGTCGCAGGGGAATGGTATGTGTCACAGGGGAATGATAGGTGATGGAGGGGAAACGCTACATAAACAGTAAACAGTGTGGCACTTATGTATACTACTGTAATTTGGTCAAGTAAACAAAATAAAGAATAAATTTTTACAAAAATACACTGGTCCTTCGGTTAACGAACACAATTTGTTCCGCAGAGTCGTTCGTTAACTTAAAATTTCACTAACCAAATCCATTATTTCAATGGGATATTGGGTAATTGGTTCCAGCTCACAGAAAAGTACATACAAAGTAAAGCCAAAAACGCATAAAGTCAGACACACTCCCAAAATTCCCCTAAATTGCCCCTTAACTATACTGGTGTGTATATATATATATATATATATATATATATATATATATATATATATATATATATATATATATATATATATATATATATATATATATATATATATATATATATATATATATATATATATATATATATATATATATATATATATATATACACACACACACACACACACACAGTTGTATTTCATTTAACGGTCAATTGAACCCAGAGGGTCCTATGTAATAACAGAACATATGGGATTAATTCCAATAGAAACCGTCCGACTTCAAACCCACTTTTTGAAGGCACATACCTATGTTGTAGTAAAAATAACATCTTAATTTTATGATGGTACATGCAACAATAATTAATACTTTAAGAGAAATAGAAAATACAGTCGCCAAGTTAATGTCCATTCAATGGACCCAACTCTCACACTACACTGCCCACTGCCCTTTCTGAGAGAAATTTTGGGAAAACCACTAAATTTTAATAAATAATACCTCAAACTAAAGTTAGGATAATAATTGACAATATGATTCCTTGTAAGATTAGGGAATATTTTGAATATAAATGTCATATTTTGCACAAAAGATAAATATGTTACCTAGAGAAAAATTTTTATCTAAAAATTGTATGTTTAATGCAAAATATATGATGTTTATATTCAAAATGATCACCAAAATTATAAGAATTCCACAATGTAAATTATATTCGACCGGTAATTTATGAATTTTATGAGCTAAAACAAATATTCAGTTAATAAAAAAATAATCTTCACAACACTATCTGTCAATCAGTACCCCACCTGTTTCCAATCAGGGTCAGTCCCAACCCCCCACCTCAATTAACTTCCAGGTTTTTAATATTTAGTATAATAATACCTCAGATTAAAATAGGATAATATAATTGACATTGCTGGAATTCCTTGTAAGATCAGGAATATTTTGAATATAAATGTCATATATTTGCACAAAAAGATAAATATAGTTAATTTGAGAAAAATTTTTATCTAAAATTTGTATGTCTAATGCAAAAATATGATGTTTATATTCAAAATGATCATCAAATTATAAGAATCTGCAATGTAAATTATATTCAGACTGTAATTTGTATGAATTTTATGAGCTAAAACAAATATCTTCAGTTAATAAAAAAAATAATAATTCTTCAATGGGTAACAGATGGTCGTTGGTTCCTCCTCTCCCCCCCACCAACCGGCCCCAAGAGATGTGTGATAACCAACTAAATTTTAATAAATAATACCTCAAACTAAAGTTAGATATTGATAATTGACATTGCGGATTCCTTATAAGATTAGGGAATATTTTGAATATAAATGTCATATATTTTGCACAAAAGATAACATAGTTAATTTGAGAAAAATTTTTATCTAAAATTTGTATGTCTAATGCAAAATATGATGTTTATATTCAAAAATGATCACCAAATTATAAGAATTCCAGCAATGTAAATTATATTCTGGCCGGGTAATTTTTATGAATTTTAGTGAGCTAAAACAGGCAGTCAGGCAGGTGGGCACCTTAAAAATAGTTGCTCGAAATGACAACTACCGCAGAGTATGTGGAAAAATCCGTGTTAGTGAAAGTTTCTGGCGAGCACCGCCATGATAAAACGCTAAGTGAAACCGCTAAGTAAGGGTAATATATATATATATATATATATATATATATATATATATATATATATATATATATTTTTTATAAAAACAACACACAATATTATTATATATATATATATATATATATATATATATATATATATATATATATATATATATATATATATATATATATATATATATATATATATATATATATATATATATATATATATATATATATATATATATATATATATATATATATATAAATAAATAAATACAGTTGGTCCTCATATTACGCGGTCCCGCATTCCGCGTTTCACCGTTAACGCGGTGCCTTGCCAGAACCTAACATTTTCACATTCCGCGGTCGTGAACCCCATTACGCGGAGAGCGGCTGGCAAGCCGCGCCATTTTTGGATCCAAACCTCCCGCCATCCGCCATGTTGTGTAAGAGGCGCGAAAATGGTGCGCACAAGGTCGCCCAGTCATCAAAACATGACCAGTTCTTCACCCGCCACCCACTACAGCCGGCCCAAGTCAGTGATAGTGAGGATATGGACTTATATGAACTAGACAGAAACATTTTAGTAATTATATAGTATATTTGGGTACTGTACAAGTATAATACAGCTTTGCCCTTAGGTCAGTGTGTGCATGTAGATGAGAAAAAATAAATGATGAAAGGTTGGCTTGTGTTTAGGCATTATGAACGAGTATGAAAGAGGTTTAAGCGCACTAAATTGACACGCACGAGAGGCAGGTGTTACTCTGACAATACCCACGCAGCAGCTGAAGACAGAGAGGTGGGATGGTGGGGGTGGAGCTTTGGCAGGCTAGCATTTGGTGCACTTGTGACCCATTTTTAAAATTTTCAGTTTGAAATTGGATATTTTAACTGAACCCTCTGGGTAATCAGCAGATAGTTGAAATTGCGTAAGAAAATTATGTGTAAGTTGGGAGTCTACAGTACTCTATTACGAAAAGCACCGTGGCTTCATTCTCTGCTTGAAAATAGGGTTTCAGAATTAACCCATAATTTTTTTTTTTTGCAGAGTGATTAGGGTGTTTAGATAAGCTGTTTTTGCTGACAATTCCTCAATATGATCAATTTGTGCTACCATAGTGTAATGAAGTATGTGGACCTTGTTTGTATGATATATACTGTACTTGATTGAAACTCAGAAATGGGGGTTTAACTGCCTATGGTGCAGTAGTCCTTTGTTGTTGTTAAAATTATTTAAATATTGTAATTCATATTTTGAACTCCTAAATTTTAGTATTTCTATTGAAATGCTGAGTCTTGATATACGAGCCTAATTTTTTTCTTTGGTCTTGTTACAGGGAAGAGGTGTGCATATTCCGCTGGCTGGAGAAGCACCAGAACCACCTTGAACCTTATACTAGATGTGATGTATAAATCGTAATTGTTCCAAGTGGATTACAGTGTTGTTTATTGTGCGTCCAAACACCTGTCTAATTAGTCCCAGGGGTGACTTGCTATTCCCGAGGCCAATTTTTTGAGTGACAATTGATTAATTGACACGTTTAATACAAGAGTAGCAATTACAAGACTGGCATTGAACCAAAGAGGGTGCAGGAACAGAGTAGACTTGTCTGAGCACAAACAAGTTGGTCAGAAATCTGGGTAAGTGTAATATGAATGAGCTACGCTTTTAACATAAAAATAATCTGCTTAAAAATAAAGCTAAAAATTTATCCAGATGTGATATAGACTCAGAGGAAGTAGTGTTGCATGGTATCCCAGGAACTGAATTCTGTGGTAAATTAACTGTCACAATGTAGCCCAGAAACAGAATACTGTAATGTACTTACCTGTTTATGCTTGCCTACACCTACATCATTAATTTCTTTGCAAATTTGAACATAATTATGATTTGGAATATGCATCAGTCCATCATTGTAAATCATTTTAAAAACAAACACATTATAGTAGTGTTAACGGCACTAATATGTTAGTGTAACATGTTTTAAGAATGCATGATTATGTGTTTAGTTTTATAAAAGGAACATTGACACATGTTATAAATTAAAACGATACAAAATTTCTTTAAGTAGTACAGTACTATTCATTGAAATTTTTTTATTATAACAAGCTTGAAGAAATTAATGTGCTCTGGTTTAAATTTATCACATTCACTTTGTATTATTTCAAGCATTGGCATTTCAAAATAAACTAACAGAATTCAGAATGTAATAATGTGGTAGTTTGTTTTAGTGATATCATATTGTGACCACAGCCCTGGCAGATGTAGAGATATTACAGGAAGGTGATCATAATCCTGTAGCTTATACTGTATGGTCATCAATCTTTTCGTTATTATAAACACTAATGTAGGAAACTGTTAGTGACCTTGGTAGTTGCCAAATGACTAAATGGCCAATATAGGAAAAAACACGTATGTTGCTTTACTCCAGTGCTAGCTTGGTAATTGTGGCCAGTGTGCCTATGCAATCCACTTATGGCTAAATGAAATTTTATTAAAATAATGTGATGAGTGCACCTTTGAGGTGTATAACCTGGGTTATTGTGGAATGTTGAAGGCATTCTTTTCATACATATGCACATGTGATTCATGGCATTTTGAATGTTCTTCATGATAAGTTTGTGATTAAAGTGCTGAGATATGGTCGTGTATGAGACACGTCCTGTGTGTAACGGTTGTCTGCAGTTTCTTCCAGAGAGGAATTGTTGGCTTGGCTGTAACTTCCATATAATAGTTTTATAAAGCCAGTAAGAGGCTTTCAAGATCTTTTTTCCTAGTATTTTTGAATTGTAAAATGTACATTTATTACATTGCTATGTTTTTTATCAATGTATAGGGGATAAACTTGTGGTTGTAAAATAGAATTTTCTGTGGGTAATGTTTTTACTACTTAAAGCTTCATGTAGTGTCCACAAAAATCAGAATTTTTTTTATTAAAATGATTAATAATTTTCGATGTCAAGTTGATTAATTATTTTTTGGGTCTAAAATTTTTGTCTCTGATGTTGGTTCTCAAATAATACCATATTTAAATTGAAATGTGCTGTTTAAAGAAAAATGCTACTTTCTGCACTCCATTGTTAATTTCCTGGTGGTGCACGTGTATCCTACTACAGTAGTACAGTACGTTGATGCCGACAGTGCTGTTGTTGGAAAAACTGTTCTCATAATGACATCTCTCTTCAGTTTTCATGAAGTTGATCCATAGTTTACTTTCCATGGACTTGGGTAATGTTGTGCACATTATATAGAAGGAAGGGATTTTTAAGACAATAAATACTCAGATGATGTATTAACTGATATGACTAGTACTTTATGAAGTTGTAGGGGAGAGTATTCACTATAGCGGAAATGAACATGCACATTGATTTAAACTTTGCCTGATGACTAATGTATCTTTTGAAGGTATTTTTAGAGTACTGTATACCCTATCGTGTTATTAATTGTATAGGTGTTCTCTACTTGTTTGATAAGTTTTTGTTTGATTGATCTGTGATGTTTTGGTTGTCTGAGAGGAAAGAAAATGAGACCGAGAAGTAGTAAATGAAACACAAGATTGATTCATGAATGTGTTAAGTGTATCTGCAAGTGATATTGTGGCATTCTTGAATAGACCCTAACAGAAGTAGTAATGGGCTGGAGTGAGAAGCACTTGATCATGTGGCTCAAGTACACAAATCCAGTACTTCCCAACATTCACACGGCCTTCTACTCCAGGTTTCATCTCCCATGCTTAAATTGTCAATCTCAAAAAGTAAAAAAAAAAAAAAAAAAATATCACACCTTGGTTTCTATACTGTACTGTTACTACTTTTGTTTTTCTTTTTTTTTAAGTATTCTGAAAAGGAGGATTAATGCAGAACCTCCACTTACTTCAATTTTAGTATTTTTCCAAGGATTCCTTCATTGAGATACTACTCACATACATTTAATGCCCCACTCTCTCCACACACTTTACCCTGAGTTGTCATTTTATCTTTCAATAAATGTTTCATTAAATACTCTGGTAGTCATTTGGGCTAAACATATATGGTATATAATGCTTAAATTTTTCCAATTCAGATATTTACAACTGCTATCACTCCATGTCTCAACATTTATATTACTTCAGATATCAAAAGCTGCCAATTATTCTTCGTCTCTCATTGGTTGTGATGAACCACTTCTCCACATTTACAACCAAGTAGTGAATGCTTTTTGTGTGTTCTTGAGTGTTTTAAGAGGCTCAAAATAAGCATACTCTCAATATTGTTGTCAATGGTGCATGTTTTCCAGGAGACATTTTTGGGCTGGCTGATGATAAGTTGCTGCAGTTTTAAGAGGTAAACCTTATGAATATAATCAATATACACACACTCCAAAAAGTATCTCAAAGGAGGTTATGGGGGGCGAGGTCCATGTCGGGAAAACTAACTCCAATCAGCAACCACTACATACTAAGATGGAATACAATCTTTGATAGTCAAGAGGAGGAGATTACCAGCTCATGAGAGACAAACTACAGAGAATTAAATGGGAGGAAATCATTAGCAAGGAGGCAGACATAGACAAATCAATGCAAAACTTTATGGAACTCCTTGAGTTAACAGTAGAGGAATGTATACCCCAGAAAAGAAGAGGGAATAAGACCAGGTGGACAAATCGCAGAACTAGGGAAGCCTGGACGAAAAAATACAAGATGTGGAAGAAATACCGGAGCACAGGACCTCGAGCAGATTATGTTGTCTACATTTAGGACTCCTAAATGTGGTCAATCGGGAAGTTCGATAAGCTAAATGGCATTTTGAGGATGAAAACCTGGTCCTGGGGGATGACAAATGGCTGATACCTTTAATGGATACCTTACATCGATATTCACATGAGGTGATGGATAACATGTCAATACCCAAGAGAGTGTATAACCCCAGGTGGAAAATGAATTGAGAGAGCTATTACAGATATCAAAAGGAAAGTAGCTAGCTTGAAAAAATTCAAATCCCCTGGAGTAGAGGGAGCACAGACTAAGGTGATAAAGGTAGCAAACAAGATTTGTACCCCACTAATACATGCAGGAAATCCTTGGGTCAAGTTAAAGTACCAAGGGACTGGAAAAGTGCAGAAGAAAACTACAAGCCGATCAGCCTAACATCTCATACAGGTATATGCAAGCTCTTGAGAAAATCCTGAGGGATGTCGTCCTCCCAAACACCCGACTGGACACCGTCTTAATGCATCACAGTGCGGTTTCATAGAAAGAAAATCCTGTAACAAATTTACTCGTGTTTCTTGAAACCGTTACAGAATATGTGGACCAAGGCTCCTCTGTAGATGTGTTGTACATGGATTTCTCCAAAGCATTTGACTAAGTCCCACATGCATGACTAGCTTCTTAAGATCCAGGTACATGGCATCACAGACAAGATTTTGACATGGATAAATAACTGGCTCAAAGGCCAGCAACAAAGTGTGGTAGACTTGTGGAACAGTCTACCAGCCCAAGCTGTGGTATCAAGAACATTAGTACTGTATTGTGATTCAGAATAGCCCTTGACAAAATTGTATAGAACAATGGAAGGGTCGTACGCTGGCCATTCCTTCTTTCCCTCAGCATGGCTACCTCTAGTGAATGGCCATTCGGTAGATAAAATGAACACTGCTACTACTGTCGTCTCTGTAGGGTTGTCAAAATCCTTCGTCTCGTGTCGTATTATCTAGCGCAAAATTGTAAAGATACTTTTTGGAGCGATTGTACACATTGTTAGCTGCTCGTTAAATTTTACTGCATCATCGGATTGTCACAAGACCTAGTTTTTTAGGGTTAACAAAAGTAGGTGTTTAATTTTGTGAAAATTATTTAGAACTTTCAATATAATGAGTTTCCACAACTATATTGATTATTGAAAATGTGAGGAAATTTGGGGGAAGTTGTCTTTATTCTTATATTCCTGTTGAATGTTGCCTTTTCACTGGAACAAAAACTGCATATTCTCAATCAAAACTTCTGGAACTTTCATGAAAGCAATGTATTATTAACTGTTACAGCAGTGTGCAATAGGCTGCAGAAATTTTGCCTGAGAAAATGAATGCCTTATTATATATAGTACACATTGTCAAATTTATCAGTGAAGTGCATGAACTCTTACATGCTAACCTGCACCAATGATTTTATTACTATCTGTGACATGGTTAACCAGCATCTTAATTTTCCAAAGCATTATCTAAAAAGCATATGCTTATTCTCTAGCTGATGTATGTGTTTATCACAGTGTATTAGTAATGATTGTGGGAAGTACTGTACCATATTGGGTAACCAATCATCTCCTGCCATTGTTTGTGCTGCAGGTCTATAGTAAGTCTCAGGAACTGGTCCTTTAATCAGGAGCAGATATTCTGTGGTAATAGAAGTGACTTTTGTGTTGTGAATGTGCACAATGCTCCTGAGAACATGCCACACTTCATGATACAAGCATTGTCTTCAAGAGGTCAGGTCAGAAGGGATTGCTATGCATCTGAACGAGGAGGAGCAAGCATTTTTAGGGTTCAAGTGTGAGAGAGAAGGAACAAGCATTTTCTTTAAAGGGTCAGGTGAGAAGGCTATAATTACCACTGAAAACCTGGGATGATGTTCTGTTCAGCAATGGGATGTACAGTATATGATCCAGCGAATATATCCTGTCAGTGTAATCAGTGTAGGTTTTAGTAGAATACAATTTTTTTCACAATTATTTAGTTGACAATTCTCAAATGAGAAATTACATAAAGTTAAAAGACCTGCATGACTTTGCTGACTTGCTTACATATTTTGCCATGTTAACAAGAATGTGAAGTTAAGAGTTCACTTGAGCTTACTGTGGGGTTATGTTGTATCTAGTCAGAAGCAAAACAAAGCAGTCTGTTGGAAACTTAGACTTGTTCATGCAACAGGCTTGCAGTAGTCATGATTTAACCAAAATATTTGATTATTCCATTTCAGAATCTTTTAATTTAAAGTACATTTTGGAGCTATAAATATGCTATAGACTAGTACAGTACTTAGCATAGAAGTTATCAAGTGATTATATTTTGATAATATAAAATGCAGTCAACAGGGATTAAGGCATTAGTATCAATGAATTGTAGGTAATGGGTGAAGTAAGTATAGTGACCAGGGACCAATAAATGGTTCTAGTTATATGGATGCAGGTATATGAAAAAGGTTGCAGTGCAAATGGGTCCCAGCTCTGTTAGAACCCAACCATTAGGACTGAGTCCTAGTCTTGAGGTTGGGAGTCATTGGAACTTAAGGCACATTTTACCTACTACCTTTTCACTCACATTTTGCACCGCACTAACTCGGTGTGGCACACATTTTTATGCTCTGTTCTCTCCTCATTTTATTACTCACAACAAACACAATGTTCATTCTTTCACTTCTTATTCTTTCATTCTTTGGGCACATAACTGCTTGACCTATACGAGTTGTCTGATGGATGTGGAGAATTCTCCTTAAGAATTTGAATAAACATTAACTTAAACATTTGACACTTAAGGTGTAGAGGTAGTTGGTGACAAAGCTGTTTTGGAAGATTCTACTGTAAATTAATTTTGCATATGACCCACCGCTGTAAATTTTGGCAAAGGTATCATGATAGTGGAATGAATGAAGAGAATATTCCAGGTTAAAGTTACCAGCTTACAAATTACACATCTCTGTCTGCCATCTGGACTGAGTTGATGATGTACCTTTTTATTTCTCTTTCCAAGTAAAAATATTAACACCATTACAGTGCCTACGAAAATCAGAGTGGGTTCTGTGCTAATATAGAATACTGCTGTACTGTATATGTGTGTGCATATCAAGGTACTGTACTATATGTTTTTTGACCTTGAACATTAACAAATTATCTTTAGAAATATTGATCCACATGAAGTTTAGATGTTTACAATGGTCTCCCTCATCAACCACATAGCTAGGGACAGACAGAAGGCAAATCTTAAGGAGCCTCAGTTCTTACAAACCATTATCTTGTCACTAACAGTATACTTGTACTGTATGCCTATATGGAGAAATAAGGGTTTATGTCTTGTTATGTGCAATGCTCTGTACTGTATTATACTTTGTTATTCTATATTTTGGCACCAAATGATTAGTTACAGCTCTGTCATCAAGCCAGAAAGTATTGGATGATACTATTGTGTGACTTCTATCCTCTCTAATTTAGGTACACCTGTGACATGATGGGATAAAGAGTCGGTTTGCAAAGATTATAGGTTAAGTTCCTGAAAGGAATAGACCCAGTGGTGAAGACAGGTCATAACCATGGGTTGTTTTAAATAGATTGATCTGCTCTGTAGAAAAATGCCCAGAAATGGAAAAAACTATCCAGATGTGTGCTTTGAAGGGAGCTTGTGATGTAACAGTTTTCACACAGTATAGTATGCTATCACATTTGTTATTATGCAGAGAGGTTAATACATACATCAAGAACCACTATTTTTTAATGATAGTGCTGTGAATTGTCATGGATATCAAAATAATATGGAAAGTACTTTTACCCTTAAGTGGCAGTCAACATCAGTGGAAATAGCTCTAGGGATGGCAGCCATCATCAGTGGAGGTTAGCTTCTGGGACTGTGGTTATCATCAGTGAGGGGTGATTCAATAGTCTATTTATCAAACATTAATTCTGATATTAGCAAATAAGCAGGCTCATTAAGCTCAAAATAGTCATTAACACTCAGCAAGTACAGTCAAAGCTCCTTGTGTTAGCATGGCCTATTTTTTTTCTTTAAAATAGGCCTTGATTAATCAAGTTCATTTTAGTGAAAATGTATGAGCAATTTTGATGGAATCCATTCTTGTGTAAATTTTATTTGAAAGGTTGCTGGATTAAGAAGAATTGAAAAATTCTGCTCTAAGGGTTTTCTTTAATAATTTTATTGACAATGCTGATTTTCCAATTTCTACATACCATACCAGTCTCCAAGTCATTTTTTTTATTAATGTTTGGTGTACCGGTACTGTACTCGGCTGTGACAACAATTTACTCCAATTTTTAAGTTCATTTTCTTTCTCTAGCTCATGAACGTTGTTCTACAATATTGTAATAATTAAAACAATTCGATTTGGCACTGAGGTACTGTACAACTTCTCAAGGCTAAGAGCTACTGTATATACAATTCCTAGTGGCACAAGATCTGTATATACAGTTTTTTATTCCTCACAAAGTTAAGTTCTCTGTGGTAGTAATGTAAGTGTTTAAAAGTTATTAGCAAAGAAGTTCTTTATATGCTGTTTTCAGTGGGACAGAGTAACAGCATATATAAGTTACACTTCTCATTGGCACTGAGAAGGGTGACAACAGTGTTATTAGAAATCAGACTTTTACTGTAAGTACCGGTACTTACGATTTTATTTATATTTATTTACATTCAATTAATTTTTATCTGTACCCTGTATAAATAGTTCTTTACTTTGTGATAATTTATGTAGGAAAATGTGGCATGTTTCCCAAGCATTTTGCTCGTGGCCATTGATGTATTTGGTAGTACAGTTCAAGGTAATTTATCATCCTAAGGATTTCTGGTTGTCTTGAAAGTGGGGTTTTGATATTTACTTCAGATTTGCTAAACTGGACATTGCCGAGGTTCATGCTTAGTAAATTATCACTTGCCCATGAGATGTAAGTGTAATCCTAGGACGATGCAGGGTAGACTGTGTGATACTACCATGAGATTGCTTGTTTTGAAACAGGAGAGAGCAAGGTGACCCTTAACCCTTTAACTAACTTCATATTCCAATAACTATGTAAGATACCTGTACACTATTACTGTCATACATACACCTACCAGATTAACCATACAGTAAGGAAGAGCTTAATATGCTCCACTGCTTACTATTATGGAGAACTTTAGTGGTATCAAAATAGGAAATGAATAAACTAATTTAAGATATGAAAGTTGAATTGTCAGACTAGAGCTGCAAAAGTCCATCTTAAAGACGTTTTGCATTAAGGATAAAAAAAGTTTCATAATTCATAACAAACCAAATTTTGAGGTGCAAAAATTACCTGGGCACCTTTTTGACTTCCAGTACTTTACAGTATTTTTTTTCCCTCAGTGCTCGGATAAAAAATAGTTAATTCAGATGTGTACTGTGTAGTTATTGCTTGCAGAGCGTCATTGTTTATTTAAAAAGGAATATCAATTATTTTCCATGAATATATCATGCCAGTACAGGGTTATGCTTGAGGTAGCTGTTACTTAATTACAGGTTTATCCAGATAGTTTTAAGGTGATGTTGCTTTTGAATAGTAAATAATTTTCACACCTTTGAATTTTGAAGGTATAAGTGTGCGATGGAGTATTTGTTACTGTATACTTATAAGATGTCTTGCTTTGGGTTTATGGAATTAGCAAAACTGAGGACCATGGTAATTATGCAATTCATATTCATCCATGTGAATATGCTTCCATGTTTTGGAGACTTCATTAGATCTCAGACCAAAGTGTGAAACACAAGGAGTCAAAATGCTGGTCAGCAGTTGTATTTGCAAGACTATATTTTCTGTGAACTTCTAGATACAGTTATAAACTTATGCACTTAAGCACCGCGCACATACACACTTACCAGACTTCCTGAATCTGCACCTTTACTCTTTGTGTATTCTTGTTCACAACATCTTTAAATATTAAACACTGCAAAGTCATGTACTTTTGTAGTCCATATGAAGTGTACAAGTATGTTACTAAGATTAAAAAAAAAACATACTTTACTTGTGATTACAGTAAGGAGTGAGTTTGGGTTTTTGCTTGCCAGCGCTAGGCATTGCTGCATTTAACTGGCTATTCTGAACCAGGTTGATTGAAAAGCATGACAGATAACTGCATTTTCTGACTGTGAAACAGCTATGTGCTTGTCGTAAGTGGTAATTGCATATTCTCACAAGTTTGTGGCCATATATGTGCAGAGATAATCATTTTAGGATCAAGTATAGTTTATGCAATATTATTTTATGAATTTTCTTAATGATTAATGAACTGTAAGATTACAAGTTTGAAAGTGATAATGATTAGGAAGGCTGTTGCCATTAATGTTCTACTTTATTATTGTAAAACTTCATTAGTGATGGTTTCACACGAGTGGAGGGTATCTGAATACAAAATATGGTGATACACAGTGGGGTACTTGTGGAGTACTTTGTTGATACTGTGCAATGCCATATTAAAGATTACAGTGGATTTTGGAGAGTGAAGCACCCATGCAAACCATAGTGACTACTGATTTGTCACAATAAGAAACTTATGGTCATCTCACATATCATCTGTTTTGGGAAACTGACTCTCTAGGTAAATGGGCACTTGAAAAGGGTGATGTATGCAGATTTTGATCTTTACCACATGACATAGATGAAATATGAGAAGAACCTTTATGTGAATATTGAGACATATCAGTATTGTTAATATAAAGCTTGGAGACTCAAATGTTAGAAATACAATATTTACCGGGGTAAATCTTGGCTTGTTGAGGAATTTTGGCAGTATATAGTTTTAAAGTGAATTGGGCTCTCGGGATTGTCTTGCACCTAAATATTAAAGCATCCTTAGATATTTAATTGTGTACTGTGAGTGAAGCTGAGCTAACAAGACAGGATTTTGTGGTGAGTGGGAGGATGCCTTACTGTTCAGTGTCGTGTTTTGAATCCGTGGGATGGTAAATGTCTTAATTTAATTTTTTACAAGTAATACAGACCTAGAGAAAATAACAAGTAGCTGAATACTATTAGGATTTATGTTGATATTTTAAATTATCAGTTAACATCCATTTCAGTTTAGGAAACCAAAAGTTTTTGTATTCTTGCATTATATGGTTATTAAAGTGTGTGTATAGGAATCTACTTCTCCAAAATATTGCTGAGTGTACCAAAGAAAGGATGGTGTATTTATTTACTGGTAGCTTAGGGATGCACTTTTAAGGTATGGGGACTGGTCCTCTAACTCGGCTCACCAGGACATGGGGTTCTACCATACTGTGTTTATATTGTCTATAATACCAGTATTAAGTTGGGCAAAGCCTATGTCAACTGTAGGACCACAAAGTGGAAACGCTGCAGTCAATGACTGGAGAATTACTGATGTTAGTTGAGGCACGTCACTGGAGAGAGCAGAGTTGGAAGGCACGGCCCGAGCTCTTCCTATTTGAAAGGCAATGCAACAATTGCCAAAATGTTACTGCCAAGCCCTTTGCTTGGATCATTGTACAGGAACCATTCATTACATTAATTGGTTTTGTCACTTTGTAATTTTAATAGTTCATTGTGTGGCCTCTTGTGACACAGGAATTGATGATAAATAAAGTTTTCAAGTTTATTTCATCTCTGACTATATTTTTTTATCCTAAAGAACGAAAATTGGTGACAAGGCTTTTGTGAAGTGTTTATATATTAGTTTTCATTACTGTTTACTTTATTGCTTCCTGCATTAAGCATTACAAGGCTTATGAGCGGAGAATGACAATGCATGTTAGTATTATGTCATTCATAATATAAATCAAATGCTTAATGTAAATCATTAATATGACTCATTTAAATGAAAATTCATGTGTAGCATTAGATGAACTTTTATTGAAAGTAAAACTTTTTTATTACTTGTGATTTCAATAAATTGGTATTTTCAATTTTGGGTTTCTTTAACCTTTTCTGAGTGTATGAATTCTTGCTATGTTAATATGTTCTGGGATGTTCAGATGAGCTAAATATTTGTAAAGTGTAAAGTAATACAAGGCATCCTTATGTATAAAAATGTCTCAAACACTGAATACTATAAAACCAAAAATCTGAAACTTTTGCTCAAACTATCCTGACAAATTTTTCATTATGAAATTATGATGTAAATAATTCCAATATCCTTTTCTTAATTCAGGAAATAGTAATGAAAACAAATCATGACAAGCATAATTTAATAAATGAAGGTCATTTAAAAGTGGCAAAGTATACAAAAAACAATTCTAATGATGCACTGTACTGTACATATCACGATACGTGAGCCAGAAAGCTGTCAAACTTCATGGGTTGTTGTCCTTCATTTTCCTCGTGTATTATGACATATCTCTTCTCATCCATCGTCACCTGGGAAAATGAAGAGTATAGTAATTAATTCTGAAATACCATTTTATAACAGGTTCCAGTAGCCATAGCCCTGTCACCTCTTAAAAGTCAAACTGGTTCAAGACTAATAAGCTTCTCATTCTTTTTTATCCTAAGAATCAATTCAAAGTCCCAGGAATTCTGATTTCTTGATTCTTACAAATAGCCAGTCTGCCTCTTAACTGGAGGATATCCAGCTCCCATAGTTTGACCTAACTCCATTAACCCCTTCACATGGAGCACAACCTTCAAACTAAGCAGCGTGGACAGAAATGTAGTTGGCAAACTACAATCTCTTCTTCCAGGACAAAAGGGGCAAGAACTACCAACAACTGTATAGCTAGGGATAAACACTCTGGTGTTTCCAGACGATTGCTAAGCCCTCATTAAGTTCATTAAACCTTAATTCCTAAGATGGCAATTGCTACCTACTAACCCATCAAAGGATAAAAACTGTACTGATTTTGGAAGTTTATTTACCATTGGACATGAAATTTTGCACCCAATCAAATTTGAAAGAAAATCATCAGGAAATAATATTAGAAATGGCATAAAGTGATACTGTAATTGGCAACTCTTGGATGAGGCCACAGACAACAACTACTTGCCTCTGTGGCACTGCTCTGTCTTGAACCATGCTTTGAGCAGTACCACACTTTAAAGCATTACTAGAATGTGGTGGAATTGTGTAAATACTGTAGTAAACATAACATGTAAATTTATGCATATACTGTACCTATATAAGAAAATCCACATAAATACTGTATAAGCGTATGAATACGGGCATACACTTGAGTGTAAAGGTATCACAGTTGTTAAAGAAGGGCCACCATTCAAGTGATATTAGTCAGTGTCAGTATTTAATGTTTTACAGTATCTTATCTGTTTGTACAAACTTGTGTTCTACAGTGTGTTGAAAGTGATTGGAAATAAGTGGCTTCCATATAAAAGTAATTTGCGTTATTTTCTTCCGTGAAGGACGTAGTATGAGGCAGTACTATACAGCGACTAGCTATGGTATTACCAAATACAGTGGTCCCTTGGTTAACGAATGGTTTGATTAACGAATTACCTCCCATAAGGATCTTCAATTCGGTTAACGAACAAAACTTCGATTAACGAAATCCTTACGACAAACACGTTTTGTTGTGAGCATCAGCTGATGGGCTAGTCTGCCAATTCAGTAATCTGTTGTTTACATTAGTTTCCAGTGGAGTAAATATCAAGAAAGTAGTGCTCTTTAATATTTTTGCATATTTTATATTAAAATTATTAGTCATTTTAAAATTTAATTAACATATTGTATTGATAATACAGCTGCTCCCCGACTTACGACGGGGTTAGGAACCAACATCCAGGTCGTAAGTCGAAATGGTCGTAAGTCGGAAATGCTTAAATAATACATAGAAAATCTAAAATGGGGGTCTCTTTTTCTTCTCAGCACCACAAAACACTCACTTTTAAGCTTGCCAGCCATTTTAAAGTGAATTACAGATGAAAATTTTGTCTGTACTGACTTTGGCACTCAAAAATAATGTAATTTGACCAAATTTTGGTATGACTGAGGCAGGTCGTAAGTGCGGGTGGAAGTAAGTCGGGGAGGAGCTGTATATGCAGTACAAGTACAGGGAACTAGTTTTTGTGCGCCCATCAGCTGCTTGACTCACTCACCAGGTGTCAGTGTGGCTTTGTTGACAGTGGAGTGAACATCGATTTTGTTGGTGTGGAATATTTTTGCATTGAAATTTTTGGTCATTCTGAAATTTAGTTAACATATTGATAATATATACTGTAGTGCAGTGCAGTGTTGATTTAAATAAAATAATCTTGAATTACACCTAGTGAACTTAAAATTTTATTGGTGAAATGACTGCTTCAAGCATGGCTCCCCAGAAAGGTGATTTCTCCTCCATCCCCACTTCCTTCTCTTCTCCCTTCTCCTCCACCCCCACTTGTAATTCTCATCATCATCATCAACCAGGAACCTTCTACATACACACCTCAAAGTAAGTGTACTTTACTGCATTTTTTTTTTACTTTGTATATGTACTTTTCTGTGAGCAGGAACCAATTACCCAATATCCCATTGAGGCAATGGATTCGGTTAACGAAATTTTTGGTTAACGAACGACTCTATGGAACGAATTGTGTTCGTTAACCGAGGGACCAGTGTATTGGGTTAGTGTTTTTATACAGTGTACAGTAGATGAGGTTTCAATTGCCTAGAAATTAAACTATATGTGATTGGAGGTAAATGTTTTGAGAACATGGAACTGGAAAAAATTAAATATAATGCTTGTTGTGTGCTGCAAATAAATGCTCTGTATATTTGCTAGGTGGTAGCATATGCGTCAGGATTTCCTTTGACACCACAGCCCATACAGCTGGAATGTTAAGTGGGGTGAACTTTCTAAGTACAGTCAGTAAAATAAGTATCAACCATCCTAAGGTTGATAGAATAGGAAATGAGCAATAACAACCAACTTACTCCAGTACAGTCGGCCCTTCACATACGCGGGTTTAGCATACACGGATTCGCAAATACGCGGATTGCCCCGCCGGAGAAATATTCTGTACATTGAAGTAACTGAAGTACATTCAAATCGCGCGCGGCACCGAACACTGCACACCGCCCACTACCCCACACACACACACACGCATAGCACGTCGTCACCCCACCCCGCGCTCCCTCACTCAGTCAGTCTCGCTGTAACCACGCTTGTGTCAACATCAGAATTGTTGTTGCTACCCTTGCTACCCACATTTACCATGGCCCCTAAAAGAGCATCCATGGTGCGTGCCCTGAAATTCATGCGAGGGATGGATGACGTTTTTGCTCCGTACAAAAACATCATGGAAGAAATGAAAAGAAAGAGACGACAACTCCCCATCACCATGTTCTTTGATCGCCGAAGGAGAGATTTAACACCATCAATCACTGGCGGCAGTGAGGAAGCAGCTGAATCCACCGTCGCCCCCACTTCACCACCCGTTATGGAATTGAGTGACGATGACCCCAGTCCTGTCGCCGAGGATAGGTACGGTACAGTAAAGTGAAATTTTTATCTCTTTTTTTTTATAGCTTTTCTTGCCATGTTTATTGTTTGTAAAAATGCACAGCACAGTACAGTTCAGTACTGTACACAGGAAGTGGAGGTGCAGTTATTCACAAAACATTTGTGTTTGTTGTCGGCAGTAGTGACGATGTGGAGGAGGCGGAGGGATAGAGCGGGTAGGAGTGGTGACGCTGGAGGCGGGAGCAGGGACGGGGACGAGTGGAGATGCCAGTCAGTACATTACGGGTGTACAGTATTGTTTTTATAGCTCTTTTTGCATTTTTATATGAAATACTGTACATTACGTTTCAACAAAACTACTATTTATTTCTGAGAATATGGAAATGTAATATTTTTGCTGAAATGACGTACGTATTACAAGGGAAAGTGGGATAAAATTGTGACGAAAGCAATGACTTTCGCTTTCTTTCGTTCAAAAGATGTTACCGTAATCGCTTTTCGAATGGTTTTCAGTTGTGGGATTATGAAGCTAATGATAGGATAGAATATTATTGTAATACAGTACATGTACAACAGTTTTTTAACTAAAAACCATTCGAAAAGCGATTACGGTAAAATCTTTTGAACAACGAAAGAAAGCGAAAGTCATTGTTTTCGTCATGATTCTATCCCACTTTCCACTGTAATATGTACGTTATTTCAGCCAAAATATTACATTTCCATATTTATTTCTGAGAATATAATCATTCAGTCACAGTTAAGGTAAAATATATTTGTGATGTAATATTTTAATGAAAATACGGTATCGTAGTTTTCTTTTGTTTCAAATTTAATTAACAAAGATTGATGAACAAAAATTTATATACAGTACAGTATCTATAAAGAAACTTTAAAAAATGATTACTTTATGTTTTACACATCCTGTGCTTACCATACCATGCATTTGGCTACTTTGGGCTTGCTATGATGACGCAAGAGATCTGCCCTGGCAACTGTACCGACACTCACAGCTGGTGGTGCGTCGTTTCCATTGTTTACTGGTAGTTACTGGTAAATATTTTTCAACCTAACAAAACTATTACCCGTTTAGAGGTTGACCCCCAATTTTTTGCCAAATAATTTGGTCTTAAAAACTCGAACTACACACAGGTATATACAGTAAATAAGGACATGGGGGACCAGGGTTTTTTTTGGGGGGGGGGGAAGGGGGGGGGAGCAAAAGTACACGGATTTTTACCTAACCCCGCGTATGTTAAGGGCCGACTGTAATATCTCCATTAGCCGGAAACCCTCTGTACTGGAACTTACCAAATGCCAGAATTGAATTTGCTCAGAATTTTTCCAAAAAATTTATCTCAATTCTGTGTTTGTAAACGATTTTCTGGGGTTGAAAACAGGCGCATATTTAAGAATATTCTGAGAAAAATTCCAAAAACTCTCCAAATCTCTCTGTTCTGGGCCTGGGAATGAATTTTTAGGAAGTTCCGAGAGATTGCATCATGCTCCAATGCATCCCTATGTTAAGAGCGTGGGTGGCCTAGCTGCTTGGATCGCTTAGTTCATATTCTTCTGCCATTGTAGAAGGTTGTTCCCTCGCTAGCTGCTGTTTTTGCATACAATTTCTGTTGTACAAAAAAAATCAGCCTAGAATAGTGTTAAAAATGTAAAAGGTGATTACAGTTACTGTACGTACATAATACAGTGCACATTCAGTAAGTGGGAAACACTGGAACACATTAGCTTTCATCTTTATTCAAGACATCTTCATGTCATGAGACCCACTAATCCCTATCCTGACAATGAGTGACCTGACATTGCATCAGATCAGGTCAGTAACATGATCCACTAATCCTCCACTCCACCTCCATCGCAAGTGATTACAGTTACATATTACATTCAGCTGAGTGGACAGTGTCTGCCTACTCTTGGTTCAAGATGACAGCATTTGTTGGTGAGTACAGTACATAAAGTATAATAGTAGGATACATTATTTTGTTTACAGTATTAAAAATGTATGGTACATGTACAGTGGTGTTTGCATAAATAAATACAATTCTATGCTTCATGTGTCGTTTATACTCAGGAAAATGGTCCCGTAAAGAGTAGAAAATTCAGCTGTCTTTACTGTAACACAGAGCTCCATTCAAGCCAGTATGATATAGATTTTTGTTTTTTAAATATATTTATTTAACCAAACTTTTACATAAACCATTCAGGATTATTCTAGTAAAGAAATGGAGATTCTAACTTAATTAGAATTGCTTTTACAAACTCTGGTAATTTAGACTCACAAAACTTTTCCTAGCACCCAGAAACATTCTGGGGTTGTGGGCTAGTGTCTGTCTGTGAAAGACGCGTCATTTACTCGGAATCATTTCCCAGTAAATGAAAAAAATTCCACGATGAGGGATTTTCAGGGTTTAAGAAAGTCGTCTGGTTACCTGGAAGTCTCTTATCCCTGGAAGTGCTCTGCATCAATTGTTCTGGCTAACGGGGATATCACTAGTACGTACAGTATATATGTTTACAGTTTTCGCACGATGTTTCACACTGTTACGCATGGCAGGGTGGTCGACACTTTGTTTTATTAATTGTACTTGACACTGATATTGCTGTACAGTACAGTAAACCCTTGTAATTCACAGGGGTTAGGTTCCAAGGAATGGGGCGAATTGGCAAAACCGCGAATAGCAACTTACAGTAAGATCTTGTATTTCGCAAGCAATATAGACTGGAAAAATTGCGCCAAATGCAAATACATAAACTAATGAGAAAAATAACAACATAGACTGGCCACTCTACATCAACCTCTGATTTTCCCATGTATAACGTCCAAATGATGCAAATTCTGCCTTTATTGACCTGATTGTGCTTTCCGGAAACTAGTTTTTAGGCCTTCCTCAAGTAACTTAATCACACGCTGCTTATCCTGCATCGAGTACTTGGCAAACTTAACTCCCTTACGATAGTCCCGCTTCTCCTTTTCCTTATTTGGCCGCTTAGGTGGATCTGTCCCACCCCCACCAGCACCAGTCGGACCCCCAGTAGAGGTAGAGGCCATTATCTTGACTCGACAGGTGATAGCACCACCCAAAAAAAACACACAATAGCAGCCCGGGCGGTCGCTAGGATGGCGCGGGATACAATGCAATAGTTGCGTTCTTGTAAACCTCTTTTATGTTCACCACCGGCAATTTGATCACCAAAACGCTTCTTGGAAACATTCTTCTTACCTTGTCTTTCCATATTTATCACTAATACTACAATATTGGAGAAAACAGCAAAAATCACGAAGCAATCAACAAAAACTGTGCGATTCAACTGATAACGTGATGTAAACAGAGAGCGCTGGTGTAAACCGTTATTAGTCTTCACGGTGAAACATTCTTTTTACTTATTCTTTTCATACAGTATTTATGGGTAACAGCTAAATTTGAAAAAAAAAAAAAAAAAACTAAATTTACCGAGTACCTCTCAAAAAGCGCTTCACAAACAAAAGACACAAATCAATTGAACATGTGATGTCGAATGTGAACTGTAAACACTGCATAACACCACGCCACGCTTAAAACGTTGAGGATGGAATCAAAACATTGAGGATGGAATCGTGTATAGCCAACATTCGCATGCAAAAGTTCGCGTTCCCCTATTCATCAATCGCGCTACAACCAATTGGCGTTGACAAAACACGAGTTGTAGCAGAAATGACTGTAACTGGTATGAGGGCTGTGACGTCATTCAAGACAGTGGCCAGCATTCAGCTTGCTGGATCTCGTGAAATTCACGATATTTTACGCCAAATATAGGACTTGGTTACATAGGTAGTGCTCGCGAAATGAAATCATACGAAATATGAGATCTTACTGTATACTATCTTAGTGCATGACTGTATACAGTACCTATACTGTGTATGAGAGACTCAAATCACCAATACTTCTATCCTTCATACAGTATATGGAAGTTTGGAGCTTGATGGAGTGTACTGTACAGTAGGCTGAAATCTGGTTACTGAAGCACAGGGAGATCATCAGGATCACTGTTGGAAGAGGGTGATGCAGTGGTGGAGAGGCGGGTGGGTGGAATGGTGGGTGGTGGAGAGGCGGGTGGTGAGGTGGGTGGTGGAGAGGTGGGTGGTAGGGAGATGGGTGGTGGGGTGGCACGTGGTAGGGAGATGGGTGGTGGGGTGGCGGGTGGTGGGGTGGCACGTGGTGGGGAGGCGGGTGGTGGAGTGGTGGCAGCAGTTGACTGAGTGGTTGTTTCCTCTTGGCTTTGAGGTCTCTAAATTTATCACTCAACTAGCATCACTAGCACTGATACTAGGCAATCCTTTAGGGGCCAATTCACAAAGAAACACAAAGTTTTGAGTACAACACAAGAAATGCTGCATAGCAGGCAATGGTTGAGTGCAAACAAAGAGAGAGGAGATGGTGCGGGTGCATAGGGTGACTCGTTGCGCTGCAGGAGAGGCTTGTATGCTAACCACCATTTGCTTACCGCGAATAGTTGAAATAGCGAATTGCAAACCCGCGAATAGTAAGGGTTTACTGTACTCCTTTTTTAACCAGAATTTATTTATTTTATTCATTTATTTATTTTTATATTTAATTTCTTTGGGGGGGGGGGGTTAAAACACTCAACCACAACGATCATTTTTTTCCATAAATTTGGCTACCCTTGGGAGAAAACCTGGAGGACAAAACCATCATGTCATTCCAAGAGGAAATAACCTGGAATTCCCCAAATCACTTACCGTAGGCTAAAGTCATTACTATATCAGAATGAAACCTGGGATCTGGGATTTCACCCTTTGGGTTTGTCTGACTCTACATGAGTTGCCCAATTAGTGCATCCAAACTAATCCTTTCCAACCCATCCCTTTCCTTATTATCAGTTCCCTTCTTCCACTAAACACGTTTCTTTTAACCGACAATTACAACCTGTCTGTCTCTCATCAACACTTACTAGCCGTCTCTCTTCCACCAAGCCTTACTGCCCCCCTCTTTCTTCCACTTAAACCAAACACTAGTCACTCTCCTACCAACAATTCCCCATTATCATCTAGCATTTGGCCCCCATCTACCACCACTTCTCATCTATCCTCCTTTACTTCAATACCTTCTCATTACACCTACCATCTGGTCCTCTCCCACCAACACTTTTCCATTACACCTACCATCTGGTCCTCTCCCACCAACACTTTGCCATTACACCTACCATCTGGTCCTCTCTCACCAACACTTTTCCATTACAACTTACCATCTGGTCCTCTCCCACCAACACTTTGCCATTACAACTTACCATCTGGTCCTCTCCCACCAACACTTTGCCATTACAACTTACCATCTGGTCCTCTCCCACCAACACTTTGCCATTACACCTACCATCTGGTCCTCTCCCACCAACACTTTTCCATTACAACTTACCATCTGGTCCTCTCTCACCAACCCTATCCCATTACACTTACCATTTGTCCCTTTTCCACCACCACAGTTTGTTCTTCACCAACATTACTGATGACAACAACTCTCTGGTCAGTTTCCTCCATGGACAAGTCTTGCTGATGCTGATCAACAGGGAGGTGGGGGTTGAAACACTGTTCAGCTGAATGATGGTTTCTTTCACTGTGTTCTGACTCCCTACCAGGGGTCTGCTGCTGGTGCTCTTCCCAAGGCACAGCCTGCAGTAAATATATATTTATTAGGTTTCATCATCATCATTCTATGGCCATTTTGGGTTGGCCACAGTTACCTGATGACAATTCTTCATGCTGCCCAGTCTCTTTCGTCAGTTTCCTAACTCTAATGTCATTTCTTAAGCCTCTCCCCATGTCATTCTTGGCCTACCCCAGGCTCTCTCCTCCCCTCCACATTTAGGCTTAGACACCTCATGACACTATTGGTCTTATCTATTATCTCCACATGCCAAAACCATCTCAGTCTGCCTTTGCGCAAAACTTTGTCAATACAGTACGTACTGTACTCTCAATACCCAGCCACTCTCTTAGCACTGAACAAGGCCTCCTATCATTTAGTGTCACATTACATAATCACCTCACCATTCTCATTTAAGCCTAATAATTGTATGTTATTCTCTTTAACTGCCCACATTTCACTGTCATACAACATTGCAATTCTCACTCCAGCTGCATAAATTCTTCCTTTCACTCGGAGGGAAGGTCTTCTTGCCATCAATAAAGGTAGCAGCTACCTAAACTTCCTCCAGCCACTTCTGACTCTTACAATTAAAAGCAGGCTTCAGCACCCCTTTTGGCATTGATCATGTCACCTACATAACAGAACTCATTGACACAGTCCAGGGATATATCCCCAATGCCGAGTTTCTCCAGCCTTGCTGTGTACATACAGAACACTTAATCCCTTCACTATGGGGATGCTACTTTTAATATTTTATTTGGCTGATGCCAGATGATTTTATTCAGCACATATGGAAGCTTGTACACAAGGGGTTAGTAGGCTATCTCCACTGACCCCTTCACTAAGGAGATGCCACTTTTTTATAATTTATTTGTCTTACACCAAACGATTTAAATTAGCAGAGGGGAGCCCATACACAAGGGGTTAAAGTCAGCAGCATTCTACAGTCTGCCATCTACTCCACTACACCTCTATGTGCCCACTTTTCACACTCATTGCACATTACATGTACTGAGTTGCTGCTGACACCTTTCTTGCAAACAGCACATGGCTATTTTCCATTTTCCACTAAGGGTCCCTCATTCACACCACTAATTAATACTTTCGTTTTTGCCACATTCACTCTCAGGCTATTACCTCTGTTCCATCCTTCAATTTCTTAAATTTTTCCACTGCCTCTTCAATAGTAAAGTAATCTCCCTATTAGACGGAATAAATGGTGCGGAGCACTTCCGGGATTGAGAGATTTCTGGGTAACGCTCCTATTTTGTAAGTTTCAACAGTCTGGACTCCTATTACAGCAGGTTTAAATTCACCTAGACTTAAATAACAAAAATGCAGAATGATAAACTAAACAATTACAAAATTCGTTTGCTATAGGGTAAGCAATGCTTATCTTGCTTCTTAGGAATACATGCCACAGTAAATAAGTTAATAATATCTTAGTAAAAAGATGATATTACAGTACTTGGTAATGGTCACACAAAACCATGATTCAATGTTACACTTGTTAGCGTATCAAGCATTCCAAAACTTAAAGAGTCTCTCTCCTACTACACTATCCTTTCCTATTTCTCAAGCTTTTGTTACTATCTTTTTCCTTTTTGGCTACCTCAGACACCACATGTTACAGATACCTTTGCTATTCTAGATTACAATAATACCTTCAGGGGCAGATCCAAGATTCTTTGAAGACAGGGTCAAAAAACTTACAACACTACAGTGAGTCCCCACTGAACATTAATCCTTTAAACGAATCCACACTATAACGAAAACAAGTTTTTACTACCCATTTGGGGATTAATGAAAGAATGTTCTACTATTACGAATGGTAAGTTATCTCCACCTTTCTGCTTTCTCACCACCAGATCTACTACCTCTATTATCACCACCTAAATCATAATTCCACGTTCCTCCCTCCCTTCTACACACTATGTCTCACCGACATTCTGCCCCTCTCACTCATTCTACTATGACTGCCATTCATGATAGTTACAATATTGGACAGTATTGTATTTTGCTTACGGAACGTCCATCCAGCGCGCCCCGGTTGAAGTTCCGGAACATCCATCCAGTGCACCCCGGTTGATGTTCCGGAACGTCCATCCAGCGCGCCCAGGTTGACGTTCCGGAACATCTATCCAACGCATCCCGGTTGACATTCCAGAACGCGTGCCTTCCATTGTTTGAATACCCAGCGCGGGTTATCAGGTTCCAGCATGACTATTTGGTAGTCACACCAATCGCAGGGTAACATGAGTGGACTCAGTGCGGTTAGAAGGCAATTAGCCTGTCGCCATGGAGAGTCGTCCGTCTCACGCTCGGTCGCCTCGAGGCATCAGGGAAGCACCACTGCTTCGCACCACCACCACCACCACCACCTCCTCCCCTACGCACCACTCCTAATTCCACGCTCGACCACAGGGAAGCTTCCTGAATGTGATTACCTACTTTTGGTTGTTTCATTTTCATTGTTTGTCCATTTTATCATGTTGTATCAAAGTAATATTGCTAAAAGTAGTGTACTGTAGTTGTATTGTGGTGTAGTATTACTGGAAAACAATGGTATGATTATGTTATAAATGTATTTATTTGTGGAATTATTATTCCAATAATTATTTATGTGCATTACTTGCTGTACCAAACACAAACACATCCAGACAGCCTGGCGACAGACTGAGTGTGTGACACCAAGCACCTTTTATGAAAAGTAATGCAAATAAAATAAATTCTAAATTAATTGTTTATAAGAAATAAATATTATGATCAGTAAATATAAGCATTATTGGCCATCTCGGGCACAAAGGCAAGCGGAAAATTACCCCTAAGTGCGCAGTGACCGCGAGCGCTCGCCATAAAAGAAAACTTTTCCTTTATTTCCCTCATCACTGAGGTGCCACGGGAGTTTCTAGAGGGACAATATATAGTTTTTCTTACGTCTTTTTTATTATGTTATCATTTATAAAGGTTAAAAATTATTTTTAGAAAAGTTGATATTTTCTCGTTTTACCCCGCGTGGGGGGTACGGCCGGCACCACCCTAGCCTGGGGCAGAGGGGTTAAACAAATTTGTATGCATGATGCTTCGTACCTCCGCCAACTTCTTTTGTTTACACAAAGTCGAGAGGGTAATGGTCACTCCCCCACACACGCACACCACACGCCTATACCTCTATACAGTACTGTATATTTCTCTCTCTCCAAGTATGAGGAAAGAAGGTAAGAGAAATAATTAAAGAAATTTTAATAAAGAAAGAACAGAATATGATTGATTGAAAGTAGAAAAAGAAATAATAAATATAATTACAAAATAAAGCAAAGAAGGCATCTAAATAAATATAAAATAAAGGAATAAATAAAACTCAGTTGTGAGTTTGTTGATTCGCAGCTAATATTGTGTGGCCGTAGTATTGTGGTGAATGTGATCTTCCATGTGTATTTCAAGTGTAGTGTTATTTCATCATCGCACTCACTCTGCAATTGGCTGAAGGGACAGAAAAATATTTGTAACTCTGATTGGGTGACCTTTGTCAGCTGATGTGGCATAATACAGTGATCCCTACGTTAACGAGCGCCTCGGTTAACGACATTTCGGTTAACGAATTACCGTATCATAAGATTCTTCACTTCGGTTAACGAAAAAATTTCGGTTAATGAATTCCTTACAAATTTTTCCCAACATGTTTTCGCCTGCATTTGGCTGCTCACCAGCTGTAGTATTAGTCTGTCAATACAGTAATCGGTTTTAGGGCTTATATTCCTTACCATTTTAGTAAATATCAAGAAGGTTGTACTATTCAATAATTTTAAAAGTTTTATATTAAATTTTTTAGTCATTTTAACAATTATTGAAGATAATTGAAGTACGGTACAGGAAACTACTTTTTTGCACGCCAAACAGCCACTCAACACACCAAGCTTGGCGTCAGTTTGTTTATCGGTTCAGAGGAAGGAACATCTTGTTTGAGACTCTTCAACATAAATGCTTTTTTTTCTGTGTTTCCAGTCAAATTATTAGCCATTTTGAAATATATTTTACATATTGATAATATATAGTGCAGTGTTGATTTAAAGAAAATAATCTTGAATTACACCAAGTGAACTAAAATTTTATGGGTGAAATGGCGGCATGGGGTGACTTCTCTTCCACCCAAATGCCTTCTCTTCTCCCTTCTCCTCCAGCCCCATTCTAATTCCCATCATCATCATCATCAACCAGGAGCCTTCTTCATGCACACCTCAAAGAAAGTATACTTTACTGCAGGGGTTTTCAAACTATGGGTCCCGACCCTTCAGTGGGTCGCGAAATAAATAAAATGGGTCGCGAAAATAAATAAGAAAAAAAAATAAAATGGGTCGCAAAAATAAACAAGAAAATAAAAATAAATGCACCATAATTTAGGCTTGGTTATTGTAATGTACACTCCACAGTCTAGGAAGCGACTGCAAGGAGAGCATTTCCTGATTCTTTCTTTACCTCTCATGTCATCCGTTTTGTCGATGCTAAATAAAGGAAAATTGTGAACAGTGTTTGTCTTTGATTTACTCATTTCATATCATTACACTTAGGTTTAATGGGTCGCAATTCAAATTGTTGTTCTGGCTGTGGGTCGCAGTAAAAAAAGTTTGAAAAACACTGCTTTACTGCATTTATTTTTAGTTTGTACGTAATTTTCGGTGAGCTGGAACCAATTACCCAAAAACCCATTGAAACAATGGTTTCGGTTAACGAATTTTTCGGTTAACGAGCAACCATCTGGAACGAATTGTGCTCGTTAACCAAGGGACCACTGTACAGTCTTTAGCCACGACTGCCTTGGGCTACGACAATCGTAAGTTTGTTTTCAGCATGCAAACGTAAGTTTTCACTTAGCCCCCACTAAGATTTTGAACTATGTGAGCTATCGCGGCAGACTTAAGTCAGATGTTAGTGCATTCCTGCCCTGGAATTTACTATGGCGCAATAGCTCATCTGGGATTGAGCGTGGGATTTGGGGGGAAAAATTAATTATTTTTCAATAATT